TTTTTTTTTTTTTTGAGACAGGGTTTCTCTGTGGCTTTGGAGCCTGTCCTGGAACTAGCTCTGTAGACCAGGCTGGTCTCGAACTCACAGAGATCCGCCTGCCTCTCTGGGATTAAAGTGCTGGGATTAAAGGCGTGCGCCACCATGACCCGGCTCTCCACGTGTCTTCACGCAGGGGTTGATCTTTAGACTGCCGTGTGCATGCTGAGGAGTTAGCAAGAGCCCTTTGCAGAGGAGCGAGGGCATTTAAGAGGAACTTCGAGTTTTCAGAATAAATTCCATCTTCTTTTGCAGTTTTATTCTTGGCTCACTCAGTCTGCAACATACTTTTTAAATTTGCAATTAACTTTACTATCTAATGAGGGATATCTCCAGGAAAACAAAATCTTGTTACATGAATACAGCCTACAGGTTAGTATTTCAGTATTTTCTTCTCTCTTCCCATAGGTGGCCCAGGTGCCTGCTATGGCACCCTCTCTGAAGGCCTGGGGTGTGCTTGCTCTCCTGCTGTGCCTGCAGCTCAGCCCATGTGCACAGAGCTCCTCCAGGCGGGAGTTCTTGGATCAACATCACCTAAATACAGACAAAGGATTCTTTTTATACAGCTGCGATGCCCTCATGACAGAGAAAGGTCTGAAACCCAAGAGCTTACACATATTTGTTTACATGCCATGGTACAAAGTTGAGCACACATGCATTAGCGGCAATTGGAAATATCGCTACAAAAACTCCTATGTCTGGACTCAGACTCCCGTTAAGGTACTCTATTGCTACTGGGAGAAATTCAAAAAGAAATATACAGAGATAAGAAACTACAACTATGTTCAGTTCCATTGTAACGCAGATGGGTATATCGATAGCATAGAGGACATGATGTTGATGGAGCCCATCTTAGCCTAGAAAGTCTCCCGGCTCTCTGGGAGAGCTGTTCGCATTCCCCAGTCAGCCCCTGCTTACAGTACCTGCTGCTGCTCCACTTGACTGAATGTCAGTGTCTCCCCACCACGCTGATTCTCGTTTTACGATCATGCTATACTGCTCTCTGCCCACAACACCGTTCCTCCCTTGTCTACCTACTTCCATTCACATTGCTCTGACTCGGCTCGCATGGCTTCTGTCGCTGGGACAAAGAGAAATCATTCAGGAGGAACTATTTACCTCCAAGTCTCAGGGCTTTCGGTGTGCAGTCTGCTGTTCTGTTGTCCTTGGGGAAGAGTGAGGCAGAGCATCATGGTGGGAAAATGTGGAGGAGCCCGGGAAGTAGAAAGAGAAGGAGGGGGAGGGTATGGGGACAAGAGGTGACAGTTGTCACTGCAGTGGCCTACCTCCTCCAGCTGGACCCTCAGACCTACTCAGCTATGAATTCATCAATGGATGGGTCCACCGCCAAAGTAAGTTACAACCTTCATGACCCAGCAAAGAAGCCGTCAGCACAGGAGCCTGTGGTCGGACACGGGACAGCCAAGTCAAATACATCTTCTTTGGACTCATGCAGGTTTTTCTTTCTTCTGATGCTATCATCTGTATGCCTATCCAAACTGAATGACCCTCCACAAATAAATCATTATTCCACTGTGTGTCATAGATACATACAGTATGCATGCAGAGTTTGTATTGTGTGTTAGCATGGGCAGTGTAGTAGTGACCTGTTATCTGAAGTATGACTAGAACCTTACACTTGGGCTCATTTCATGTGTGCACCTACATGCATAAGGATAGGCCCATGTGCTAGGGTAAAGACAAGTCTTGATTTGGCCAGTGAACAGGAAATCAGGGCAGAGGGGAGCAGAAAACTACCAAGTTGGGTCAAATAATATTGCAATGTCTCTGGCTCATAACAGCTGGTCCAGGAAGTTTGTATGTTTTTTTTTCCTTTCTTATCCTTTGGTTTAGGATTTTTATTTTGACCTTGATAAAACATACATGAAAAGTATTCCAGTCATTTGTTCCCCTGACTGTAGAACATTTCTAACACAAAACAAATAGTAGGGGCGCCAGAGAAAAGGCTCCGTAGGTAAGGACGCTTGCCACTCCTCAGAGCACCCAAGCAGTTTCCAGAACCCATATCAGGGATTTACAACCGTCTATGACCAACTCTAGGCCATCCAGCACCCTTCGCCTCTGTTGAATTAGGAGCGGCGGCAGGGCTGCGTCCCCGGCACCCGGCCGCCCGCATGGCTAGGTTATGCCCCAAAATAATTACACGAAGACTGTATTTTTTTAAAAACACTGCCTGACCCATTAGTTCCAGCCTCTTATTGGCTAGCTCTTACATTTGTTCTAACCCATTTCTAATATTCTGTGTAGCCCACGAGCTGGCTTACCAGGGAGGATCTTAACCTGCGTCTGTCTGGAGTGGGAGAATCATGGCGACTCCTCGACTAAGTTTCTTTTTCCCAGCATTCTCTTCTGTTTACTCCACCTACCTAATTTTCTGTCCTATGAGGGCCGAGGCAGTTTCTTTATTATTAACCAATGAAAGCAACAGCTAAGATACAAGACCCACCTCCATCATTTCCCCTTTTTCTGTTTAAACAAAAAAAGAAAGGCTTTAACTTTAACATAGTAAAATTACATATAACAAAACAGTTATCAAGTAAGAATTACAGTTACAATATTTATATCTATTTTATCTCTTATCATAACTAAGGAAAACTATAACTATCTATTCATTCTTCAACTCCATCAAAGACTCCAGAAGGATATAATACTACCTAAGTAAACAAGAAATAAGAAAACTCTAGAAATGACAGAGACATCTCGCTGCCTGGACAGTCACCCAAAGTTC